TATATATATATATGCTGAATTGCTGCCTTACCAATTTATAAATAATATTTGTTTGCACTACACAACTTCCAAAATGTCGACAATTTTTCGACTATTCAGCGCAATTTCGGCTTTGTGTTTAATGTTGTGTCCGGGTATGTTTCAGTATTCCAAATACTCCCCAGAAACAACAAACAATTTGTTCCTCGGACAAAATTTCGCTTAAAAATTGGCTATTTCGTTAATCATTTTCCTGATAGTTTCACGCTATGGAAGATAGAGAAAAAGAAAGAGAAATTAAAAATACTATGACTGTACACATTTTCTGTGTACAATCGTGGTATCTAAGTAAAACCCTTCAAAGAGAGATGGGAAGAAAAAAGAGACTATCAATGTTTTCAACTGTATACTATCAAATTTATTGAGTATTTGTCATCTAAAATATTATTTTGCTATCCAAAAAATATAACCACATGTGACATCACCTTAGCAGTACTCCCTGAAGATTTCAGTATTAGACAGTAATTGCTAACTTCACTTCTAAAAGAGAAAAAATCCATTAAAATCCGTTCTTATGAAAAAAACACAAGAAAAAAACAGTGATTTACTGGAGATATTAGCGACAAAATTAGTTGATATTACATGTACATATTGTACAATGTACAATATGTACTTTCAAAGATTATAGCAAGCGTAAAACATAGCAAAATGTGTAATGGATAACAATCATGTATTGGATAAGTATTAAAGAAAAAAAAACATTAGAGCAGCTACTACATGAGAGAGGACGATAAAATATTCTTTTATACAGAGCTATGTAAATAACGAATGAATTTTTAAAACTTCACAAGTGTCAACAATGAAAATGTCATCAGCTGTATCTGTACATGTAATTTGTAAACTTTTGTTTTTCACTGATAAATTTCAAACAAATCTCAAATTCCACCTATATTTTTCAAGCATTGATTAATTTAAAATAAAATTTTCAAACATTGCAATGCCTTTTCGAAAGAATTAGTGATCATATAAATATACCATAATGTCAGATCACAACGAAAAAAAAGAATTTCAAGCAAGTATCCTGACAAGAAACTGTTTTGGGATGATTAATTGGAGCAATACATTGTATGAATTGTGCTGTATAGTTTGAATAACAATATGGTGCAAAGAAGGAATAATTAGGGGAGATCAATACATTGACAGATTGGGATAAACCGATCGGGTAAGCTGAATTGAATCTCGCGGACATAGAGTAACTCCTGTCGACAGAATGGACACGGAACATCGCTTTGATTTCTACTGTGGCACTCCATCAATATTTTCACCAGACAGGTGGAGCAAAGCATATGACCACAACCAACTTGTCGATCCGCAACATATTGCAGACAAATTTTGCATTCTTCAATATATTCAGGACATTTATGGAGTTTTAGCAACGGTGATTCTGTTGGTGTAATCCTTGTTGCAGAACAGTTAAGAGCAGCAGTTTCATTACTATGATCGGAATTGGAAACGATAGAACTTGCTGTAGCTGTACCAGTGTTCCTCGACCTCTTCAAAAGTCCAGTTGGTTCCAAACTTAATCGTACGCCACTATAAATGGCAAATAATAAAACGAAAAAGAAGTCAATCTTTAAAATGCTGAACGACCATGTAAATGAGGAAGGATTCAGAAATTCCGATGTACGTCTTTCGAAATCAAACAGTACATGTAAAGTGCTTGTATGAATTACTGCTGCTGAGGATACTGCCAACGACAGTACTAGAAATACTCGATGGGTATGTCGAGAGCTCCGGACTAACCAGCCACTTGCTTGAAATCGTCCGTTGATCCAATCGATTTTCACCCGTCCTGCTGATACCATATAGTGATAAAAGATGGCACACCAGAAGAACAATATGAATGAAACACTAGTTAATCCCGTTCGTGCGGCTATTATATTGGTCATGTTAAGCCCACCTTTAGGCCATTGCATGAGCACGAATAAGTAAAAGAGAAATGCAGTAAAGTGACGAAGAAACGTTGTCCAGGAAAGTTTTTGGAAAACAGTAAAACAACTGACCAAGTTATTCGAAAGAGTAAAATATTGTAACATGGCGGAGCTCATTGCAAAAATGATACTGTATTGATTTATCCTCCAAATATATCAATTTCCGACAAGCACTTTTCCAATAGTATTTCAGCTACTAGAAGAGACAACAAAATGTGTATCGAAGAAAGCTTATCATCAGCAGCACGTTTTGAATGACTGAATTATGAGTGCAGTGAAATACAGCGAATGAAAACATACAGTGTGATCAAAAAAGAAAAGGAAGTAGAAGGGCAGTGAGTAATGACTATCGATTATTTTGAAAGTTTACATCACATTTACTCAGTTGTAACTTCAATACAACCACCATAAATAATTTGAAAACAAAAACAATCTGTCATACAACTTCTATCGGCCTCTCTTATACCAAAGATTGTGTACAACGGCCAAAAATCAACAATGAGCTCAGGCATTCCTAGGATAACTTATTACAACATTTATGACTTCACACGTATTAAATATTCCCTTGCTTCTTTTTCCGTCAATTCAAGAAAATTTCAGCTAGAAGAAATGATATCAAGATTTGAAGAAAAAATATTTTAAGTTTTGATAACGTCAGCTATTTTCCCCTCAAAATGTATCAGTACTAATAATATTTTAATAATAGCAAATACCTCATCATCGATGATCA